TTTTTCATATTACCCCAACATTTCGCTTTCCGATACTGAAAACCGCACCTTTTTAGCTGCTTCTTAGAAAAAGTTATCAAAGAAATGGCCGTGCTTCTTCTTTTTTGAAATGGATAGTAGTAAGTTTAACGTTTCAAAGTCTTGGACTTTTAGGTTCTGGGCAATGAAGAATAAGATGACATACAGGTGACCTAGGTGAATAAATTAGGATTTTTTCTTAAACATTTGATCACCAGTTTGACTTTTTAATTTATAACCGTATTTTCTATATAAACGTTTATCATCTGGTGCATATAATTCAATAACATTAAAATTATTTGTCCATGCATATTGTTCTACTCTTTCTAAGAGTGTTGAAGCTATTTTCTGATGTTCATATTTTGGCTGTGTTACAACATGATTTAGATATAATTTATTTCCTTCACCATCACCAATATTAAATTGTTGAGCTTCTATTAAACTAACGAGGCGACACGGTTTTTTTGTTATATCCCAGGCAAACCAATAAAATTCTTTTGGTTCGATAGATACAGTTGTATAACCCATAATTAATCGAATAAATGGTTCAATAATTGTTCGATAATCAATTGGCTCATTAAATGTTATCTCATAGGGAAAATTTAAATTTTGATTATAAGCTGACCAAACATTTTTATTGTTATTATTAAACAAAAATACGGTAAAGAAAAATATATTAATTATCTTAACAAACATATAGATACACAAATTACACGAATAACAAAAACAAAGATTTTCACTGGCTTCGAATTGATTTCTTCTTTGGAAATGGTTGATAAGGACGACAAAAACTTCTATACATTATGAATGGTTGCCAGTAGTTTACACAAGAAATAAAGAAGGATGTATCTTCGGAACAATACGTACTAAAACTGACGACGATGTCTCGTTTTGAAGAAAATAGGCTGATCTGTCTTTCTAGAATGATCAAAAAATCATTTTTACTAGGTTGGAGTTCCTTAAATGCTAAAAAGAACCTCACTTCAAGTTATTTAAATATTAGATACAGCATAAACAGTCTGAGAAAAGAATGCTGCTCATACTTCAAAGTAGACAAGAAATGTTTCGAAATGACTGTACGTATGTAGGCGAAAACAAACACCTTCGAAAACGTTTAAATCGCTTTGAATGAAGAACGCAAAATTTTCAATTGTGTGGCCAAGGTGTTCAAAAACGAAATGCACTTCGCACCGTGCAAACTATTGTTTTAACACTTTCATACCATGAAAATGAAAACACTCCAGTTCGTTTGATTCGGTCAGTTCGTAAATGCACATTGTTGAGAGCATTT